ACAGGCCTGTAATTTTCATTCTTGGTTGGGTCTTTGTATGGTTTTGGTATCAAGGTAGGTGAATTGAGACCATTAATATTAAGTGATATTAATGACCAGTGGTTGTTTACTCCAGTTATTCTTATTGTTTTTTTGGTATTAGAGTTTGTGTGTCTCCCTTCTTTGAGTTGTGCTGGTGAAGGGTTGCTAGATGCCTGAGTTGTTGTAGGCAGTGTTGGCAATGTTGGATTCCTTGGGTTGCGATTTTCCTTCTATTACCCTTTGTAGGGCTGGATTTGTGGTTACGTATTGTTTAAATTTGTTCTTATCCTGGAATGTCTTGTTTTCATAACAAGGTCAGCTTAGAACTTGATCACTTGGCCCTTTCTCTTCTTATCACCACCCAGTTCAAAATACTTGCATCTCTTAATAGCCAGTATCCTCTTAGATCTGCAGTTGGGCTCCACACATTCCAGTCTCAGCACAATCTTCTTTGTAGTTTTCACCTTTTTGCGGAAAACAGGCTTAGTCTGCCCACCATAGCCACTCTGTTTCCTGTCATAACGCCGCTTTCCCTGGGCATACAGAGAATCTTTGCCCTTCTTGTACTGGGCCACTTTGTGGGGTTGGTGTTTGCCACATTTCTTGCAGAATGTACGGCGGGTCTTAGGAACGTTCACCATGTTGGAGGGTGCGATATCGGCACAGAAAAAAAAGCTATTGTTTAATTTTGTTGAAGATGATAATGGTGTGTCAAAGGTAATTTGATCTCCTGGACCTTATCAAGAAAAACATTCAAATATTTGAGTAGCTATGTCCTCTTGCTGAGTTTATGATTTGGGAAAGTCTCTCAGTGTACATTTATGCTTATATTAATGTTTATGATTGATTTAAATAATAGTGAAAATACTGGTCTTTTTTGAAAAGATAGGTCCACCTTAGTTATATTTTTAAAAGGGCAGTTTTAATTTGCTATTTCACTGAACTTTTGGTGTACATATTCATTGACTTGGGTTTTAATTATTAAATTAAATTGTTATAATTCATTAAATTGAAGTTCAGTTAATAAAACTTACACTATTTCTGTAGAAGTTAAACAGGTTATAAGAGTATAAGTACTTAAAACAGATAAAAATTTTCTAGAAAATACACAAAACAAAATTAGGAAATATATTACAGAATCACCAAATCCTATCTTTGTTCTGTGTACCTGTACATAAACAAAATGCTATGCATCTGTACATAAACAAATGGAACACATTCCATTATTTCATGTCTAGCAATGCTGTCAGTTCAGTTATGTAAGTGCGTCTTCTCCTGTTCATGTCTGTTTAAAACCAGAGCTAAAACAAAGCCTAGTGCTTAAGAACAGAGTCCTTGTTTTCTGTCCACATTTCTCCACAATGCCTCTTTATATTAATTATGTAACACTTCCATGGTCAGAGGCCCCATTGTTTCTGCTTAATCTTCCTCAGTTGATATAAATACAAGGAGCTAAATGAAAAATTTCAGATACAAAGAGCTTCACAGTTGGACAAGCCAAGTCAGAAAGTCAGCTCTTAACTGCTCAGCGAAAGCTTACAAGCTAACAAGCTTGGTGGCCAACATAGGGCATCTTAGAGAAGTGATGGAATTTGTAATAGGTAGGGCCTAGTTGAAGGAAGCTGGACCACAAGAATGCCCTTGAAGGTTGTCTTAGAGCTGTAGCCGCAGTCTCTTTGCTCCCACCCCATTGGATCAGCAGCTTTATTCTATTACACATTTCCTGCCATAATACTCTGCCTCAGCATAGGCACAAAGTAACAGAAACAACCAATCACCAACTAAAAGCTCTGAGGAGGCTTTTAAAATCAGATATCATGTCACAGTAACAGTACAAAAATGACTAAGAACATTCTACCCCAAACAGAAGGACCACCACCCTTGGCACAGGGACAATTCTCTTGGAAAAGAGAGTAACGCTGAGGCAGTCCCTGCTATGATCAGGGATCAGTCACTGCGCGTGTATCATATGTGCTCAGCTCATTTGTAAGCAAATTGTGTTTCATTCAGTCCTGGGATTCCTGCAAAGCCCATCTGTATTTGAATAAATATTATGTGTAAGCCTCTAGAATAAGGAGTATTTATTATCTGCTGTTGACATGAGTTGGATTACAATCATCAAATTTCTTATTTTGTGATCAGATTAGTTTATAAGTAGTAAATTAACAGTCATTAAATGTCTTGGCTGGATAATGTACTCTAAGCAATTCTCTCTTTAATCATAGAATGATAATTCTATGTTGTGGATATTCCATTCTGACCCAGGAAGTCTGTAACTGATGATCTTTGTTACCAGGCTCTTTGATATTCTTTATTTATTTTCTTTTGTTGTTTCTATTTTGTTGTTTATTTGTTTGTTTTGGTCAGACTTTCGCTTTTATGGCAAGCACTTGACATAAGTTGAAGTGAAGAGGATTTATTAGGCTCTCAATTACAGGGGTTGCAGTCCATCAGGAGGGTAGGGCATGGCAGAGTGTAGCAGCTCACATCAATACAGAAGAAAGTAGAGTTAAAACGCCTGCATCAACTGATCCTCTCCTTATGCCCATATATTCAGTCCATGCCCCAGTCTATGGGATGCTGAATCTCACATTCAGGTTATATCTTGTTCCCTTAGTCAACGAGTCTGGAAATGCCCTTCCAGAAATACACAGGGGGCATGTTTTATTAATCACCTATGAATTTCTCAATTCAATTGGGTTGACATTTAAAAATAATCCTCACAATATCCCATTATGTTTTTCCCTCTTATTGAAAATTGATTCTTTTCTCACACAGTATATCCTAATTATAGTTTCCCCTCCCTCTATTCCTCCCAGTTCCTCCCCACCTCCCTTCCTCTTGGGATCCATTCCTTTTCTGTACCTCATTAGAAAAGAACAGGCCTCTAAGAGATAACAACCAAACACACCAAAATAAAATAAGATGAAGCAAAACTATCATGTTGGAGGTGGCGTACAACAACCCAACAGGAGGAAAAGAACCCTGAAAAGCGAGTGCAAGAATCTGATATGGTTTGTCTGCTTGTTAGTTTATGCTTTCAAAAGATTTGAGCCACAAACCATATCGTTTTTTCAAGAAATGCCATAAGTGAAAGCCTCACGAGAGCTAAGCAAACAAGGCCAAGTGAAAGGAATAAAAGCCAGTACCACTTTAACTAGAATGTCACCAGTTACAAAGAATAGCTTAAATGTAATTGCATGCAACCAAGGTTAGTTGTTCATAAGTAAATATGAGTTTTTGCAATGGCACCTTTTAGAACAGATTGCATTACTGTCAGATAACGGCATAGTCTACTGATTTTATTCTTCAAGTTTCTTCAGTGTGAAATGATGTCTTGCACACTTTCTTGTTAGACTATAATATGCAAACTCTCCAGATAAAGAAAAAAAAAAGTGGATAAACCCGAAGTGACCAAGCTGTTGGGTACAAAGACAAGTATTTTACTGTTGAAGAGACATGTTGCAGAATAAAATGTCAGTTCCTGTAAAAAGTCCAGGTACCACATTAAATCCATTAAATCACCGTGATGCAACTGATCTGAATTTTCCTTCCCCTACCCATGATCCAGCTGGAAGAGTTAAGTGGTTTCCTTAGACACTGAAAACAAACAAAGCCCAGTTTTCTAAAGAATAAAATCAGAACGTTAGACTCAACAACAGTTTCCCACCAGCCATATATTATTCATTATGGAATTAACAAATGCTGAAAACATTTTTCTTATCAGAATACCATCATTAAAATAATCTTATATAGCCTTAGCAATGTATTTTCCAGTCACTGATCAATTGCTGGCTTTCAAATCATCCACAAACACATCTTTTAGGTTATCCTACCTTAAGGCTACCTTGACCCTGATGCTATTAGCTTAGATTACAGCTGCCCTCTTGGGAAAAAAAAAAAAACAAACAAACCAAAAAAAAAAAACCCTTCATGCATGTGAAATTCTTTACAGAAATAGCAACAAAGACCTTATTATCTCTTCAGTTTAACACTGCCTAAAGTCACATAGTTCTGTATGATCTATTTTTGTAAACTTTAGAAGTAAACCCACATATGCATCTTTAAAGAAGACAATGAATTCTGATATTGTTAAATCAAATACGAGTAAGAGTGGAGGACAGAATGGTATCAAATGACGGCATACATAGTTAAAGGAAGCTTTTAGCAATTGAGAATTTGTTGCATAGAAAGGGGCATTTCTCACTGTGCCTAAAGAAACAGAGAAAAATCAAACCAAATAAAAAGAAGCCTCTGAAAATACAGCAGAAGAATACCAGAAATGTAAAAAGTTTATAAACCTGCTAACACGTGTCATCTAAATTGTCAAATATCATCTGCTCAAATATCTAAATATCACACAACTTTTAAGAGGGGAAAAACTCCAGTTTACCTGTAGTATGAATACAGGGACCATAAAGTTCTTTAAAAAGAGTTGGCATATACTCCAACCTCTTTGATTGAATGTCTGAATAGTTCTGCAACTCCGCTTTTCCTATGAAATAGTCACAGTTTATTCTACTTGTTTTTATAGGTCTTAGGAAAAAACTCAGCCTGTCGTCCTTTGAAGGATCTAAAAGCAGAGGTTTCTCTTTAAGGCGTTGTTTGAACCAGCTAATAAAACACAGTCCTTAGTCTCTGTAAAGGCTACCGCGAGCTGAAACCACCACCAGAGACTCAAAGCTTAGCATTTTATTTTATTTTATTTTATTTTTCCATGAATACTTTAGTCACAGATCCTGAACTCTGCAGATGGAAAAGGTACAGCAGACTAGTGATTTGCATTGCATCAAGTGTTAAATCATTTGCTTGCTGAGGATTTTCTGAGTGCCTACGCCATATACGGCACTGGGCATAGAAAGGTAGATTAAAGAAAGATTACAGCAGAGAAGACTCTAATGAAGGGCTAAGCTGGCTAGAGAGGGGACATTCTGAGAAATTGCCCTAGTGATGATGTATCCCTGACTCCACCTTCCTCCTAATTCCCTTTCTGGAGTAACATCCACAGCAAAAGAGAAAATGGTTTCAGCATGCCAAGCACAAGCCAGGTGTGTTCCTTAACTCCACAGGGAGGCAGAGCCGGTGGTTTGCCTCCAGTCTGCAGTGACCAGTTAGTTACTAAGGGATACATTTCTTTGCAGCTGAGAATTCTGAAGTCAGCTCAGTGAGGAAGTGAGGAAATGAGCGGTTCATTCTTCACCTCATCTTCGAGTGCAGTCCAGAGCACTTTGCCAGGGCCTTGTGGCCACTTGACTCCTGAAGGAACCCCTTGTGATTGAGCCAGGTGGCTCGCATCGACTGAGGCCTGAGAAGCTTTCATGCTTATTGATTTGCACAAGACATCTCTGTATAAGAGGGATGTTGAAATAACCAGGCTAGCTAAGGATAAAAACAATTATATTTTATCTAGTATAAGGGGGAAACTCACAAAACAGGAAATGAGAAATCCAAGCCCAGCAATGTCCCGCAGGAAAAGGCTCAGAAAGAGAACACACCTGGAGATGTACACGTTTTACCCTGGGTGCCAGCGAAGCCACGCCTTAACTAAGACCCACCTCTTAAAGATGATTGGCTAACAAGGTTCCCCATCAGAGGGATGAGACATACTTTCTTTATAACATATTTTGTGAATGTTCTCTTC